TGTATGCGACTAGCCACACCATCTGGTCGGACAAAGTAACCCCTATAAAACTGACCGAGTAACTCCTGTAATACTAACTGAGTTACCTCTAACACTGATTAAGCAACTCGTCCCCTATCTGTAACACTGATTGAGTAAGCACTATAACATTGACTAAGTAATCCCTATAGCACTAACGAAGTAACTCTTGTAATAGTTGGTGACACGATTTGGCCAGCTACGTATAAAAGTTTGTGATTAAATATATTATAAATGGATCTTATTTTAAATAACTTTTTAAAACGAATTTGATGATGGAAATAGAATTGAGTTATAGGATATTTATTAAAAGGTATGATTAATTTTGTATATATGAAATATTAGAATTCTATCGATAATAAAACTCTATACAACAATTTTATCTTAAAAAATCTTTTCAAAAATCGCTAACTTAACATCATATGTGTCACAATAATACATATTTTATCTCCTACGTGGTGCGACACTTGGAGAAAATCTAGAATGCGAAATGTCGTTGTCTCGTGGCCTGGCTGCGAGACCGGCTTTATTTATTAGTGACTAGTTTTGTGCCCGGGCGATGCCCAGATTGTTGATAAAATCTTAGAATAATTTTTTTGACTTGAATGTTAAATGCGGTTGTATAATCCCTTTTAATTTTGCAAGATATTTAGACGTGCGATATCATATCGCTTATTTATATGATAGTGTACTTTTTGTAATTTTGTTTATAAAGTAGATATCTATGTTACTTTTTACTTGAAATTATTTTATTGAACTTAAATTGTTTTTATTGAACTAAAAGTATTTTTGCCAAACTAAAATTATTTTTGATTATTAAAACTTATTTTTACTAATTCTCTATTATTTTTTATATTAATTTAATATACTTGTATTATAAATGGATCTTATTTTATAGAACTTCTTAAAACGAATTTTATGATCGAATTAGAACCGAATTATACGATATTTATTAAAAGTTATGATTTATTTTGTATATATGAAATATTAGAAGTATATCGATAATAAAATACTATACAACATTTTTATCTTAGAAAACCTATTAAAAATTCGCTTAGGCCCTGTTCTTTGAGCTTCTGGGCAAAGTAGAGTAGAGTAGATTTTAGCAGAGCAAAGCAGATTTCAGCATAGCAGAGCAGAGCAGAGCAGGGCAGAGCAGAGCAAAGCAAAGAAGATTTAGTTATTATTATTATTAATATTATTATTATTAATATTATTATTATTATTATTATTATTATTATTATTATCATCGACTACTACTACTACTACTACTACTACTACTACTATACTACTACTACTACTACTACTACTACTACTACTACTACTATTATTATTATTATTATTATTATTGCATTATTAATTATTTATTATTATTATTATTATTATTATTATTAATATTCATATTATTATTATTATTGCTATTATTATTATCGCATTTTGTTATTATATATTATTATTATTATTATTATTTGATTTTTTTTACTCTTTTAATAACATTAGAAAATGTTGTAAATAATATAAAATATTAATTATTATCATTAAATATTAGTTATTATTATCAATTAATATTATATATTAATTATTATTATAAAATATTAATTATTATTATTATTATTATTATTATTAAATATCAATTATTATTATCTATAAATATTAGTTATTATTATTAAATATTATTTATTATTATTATTATTAAATATTTATTATTATTATTATTATTAATTATTATTATTTTTTAGCAGAACATAGCAGTGCAGGGAATAGTAGAGCACAGCAGAGCAGGGCAGAGCAACTCAAAAGAACAAGGCCTTACTTAGCATCATATGTGTCACAATAATATCTATTTGTCACCTACGTGACGCAACACTTGACGAAAACCTGGAATGCCAAGTGTCGCTATCTCGTGGCCTGGCTGCGAGACCGGCTTTGGTGCTTGGGCGATGCCCATTTGATAGATAAGATTTAGGATAAAATTTTAGCGTGAATGTTAAATACGGTCATATAATCCCTTTTGATCATTGATATAGTAGTGTACTTTGTGTGGTTTTGTTTGTAAATAGATATCTATGTTATTATTGACTTGAAATTATTTTTATTGAACTTAAATTATTTTTACTAAACTGAAGGCATTATTAGCAAACTAAAATTATTTTTACTGATTAGGACTTATTTTTACATAATCTCTATTTTTTTGAATAAATATATTATATTTATGTTGTTACTAACTTGAAATTATTTTTATTGAACTTAAATTACTTTTACAGAAATGGAAGTATTTTTACCAATATTCACTATTATTTTTTAAAATAAATTAATATATTATAAATGGATATTATTTTAAAGAACTTTTTAAAACGAATTTTATGATGGAAATAGAACCGAGTAATAGGATATTTATTAAAAGTTAGGATTATTTTGTATATATGAAATATTAGAAGTTTATCGACAATAAAACTCTATTAGACAATTTTAAAACTCTATCTTAAAAAATCTATCCAAAATTTGCTTACTTAGCATCATATGTGTCACAATAATACTTAATTTTCACCTACGTGGCGCGACACTTGGCGAATAACTGGAATGCCTAGTGTCGCTGTCTCGTGGCCTAGCTGCGAGACCGACTTTATATATTAGTGATATGATATGATATGATATAATGACTAAAATAATAAGAAATTGAAGTTGTATATCATATCAAGCAAGGAATTAAAAATTAAACAATTTTTTTTTTAAATGTAGGAGGTATATGTTATGGAGGAAGCATATACGAAGTATTATTGAAAATATGTACTCATAATCAAATCAAGCAAAGACACTAATAATTAAGCAACCCCCATATTAAAAAATAATTGAAAACACTACCCGCAATCAAATGTAGCATGAGAAAATAGAAGAAACATAGAAAGAAAAGGGCACACATTGGTTCTCATACAAAAGATTGACATACCTCATATATTCATGTGTGACTATAACAAAGGGACTCAAAAAGTGATTAGCAACAAAAATCTATAACTATATAAACCCATAAACCAAAAAAAAAAACCAATTATATTATACTGCCATTTAATTTGTAATTTTTCATAGTGACACTGGATATAAAAAACAGTTATATTATACTGTCGTTTGTAATTTTTCATAGTGACACTGGACATGGATAGGACAAAACCAATTTGTAAAAAATTAAAATGAAGTTCGATTGATCAATATACTGTCGTTTGTAATTTGTCATAGTGACATTGGATATGGATAGGACAAAACCAATTTGTAAAAAATTAAAATCAATTTCGATTGATCAAGGAAGCAGTGGAAAACACAATTTTTATTTTTTTGCTGTATATAATCTTCTAAAGATTAAGATGATGGATAGATTTATTGGATTTAGAAGTTGAGGGCAAAGAATCCTTCCAATACTTTCCTAAACACAATATCAAAACTTCGAAAAGGATAAAAAAAAAAAAAAAAAAAAAAAAAAAATTGATAATAGAAGTTGAGGGTAAAGAATCGTTCCATGACTTTCCCAAAAACAATCAGAAATCAAAAGGAAAAAAGATGTAAAACTATAATCACAGTATAAGTTATTCAAACAAAAACATAAACATAGTAAATCAGTCTAGTAGTTTAACAAAATCTTTTATACTTGAGTCGAAAACAAAAAATTTGCGAAAATTTACATCCTTATTAATTTATAATTATAGTATTAAAACTTTTAGACAAAGAAATATTAAATTGAGTAATTAACCAAACATATAAAACCGATGATATGACTTTAATTGAGTAATTAATCAATATACAACTGCTAGGAGGAAAGCCATAAGTATTGGAGGTTGGACTGGAATTAACACAGATTATGAGGGGTTTTATTTTTTAGGGACGAGAAGCAGTTGTAGGAGGAGAGTATGGTGCGTAGGAAAACTGAGTAATGAACATTAATATTATTTTGTTTTTTTAATTTGAAGGTTTTTATTTTGTATGAGGAAGGAGGATAGCTAGAACAATGGACAGTTTTTAAGAAATTATACTTCGTAGGTAGTTATGGAGTATCAACTTTATTTACTGGTAGTAGTTATTGTATTTATTTATTTATTTATTTATTTATTTATTTTATTTATTTATTTGGGTAGTTATTATTATTTTTTTTTAACAAATATTTTTTCTTGAAAATAAGTATTTTTTTAAAGGGCATTTTTGGAAAGGAAAATTCCCAACCAAAAAAGGGAGTTCCCTTTAAAGATTAACATAGATAGATTAGTTTTTGATTTTTTTTTTTAATTAGTAAATTCAATACAGTTACAATCAATTGAATCAATAGTGTGATACAAATCATACAACATCTACAATATCAATTGAATTTGTCAAATACATAATCAATTAAATCAAATGACTAAGTTTAAAAAAGTGAAAAGCCGGTACATACAAGAATAATGTAACAAGATGTCTCAATACTTTAATGAATTAAGGTTTGAATGTTTGATAATTAATATAATGCATTGATACTTGATAGACATATCAACTCGTGTGATTAATTCGAATTTAGTTGTGTTGGGTTGGGTCGGGTCTAGGGTTTTAGTCCATGTTTAATCATTATTTTCATACAAGCTGATATCTAAATTGGTTTACTTTCAGGTAGGATTAGATCGGGTTGGTATATATTATGTATCAACTAAAATAAAATTGGGGATGTGCATTATACATTCATACATAAACTCCCTCTATCCCTGAATTTTTGTCCCATTGCTAAATTATAGGTCAAAATTTTAAACTGTAACCATTAATTGTTTTTATTTATGAAAGATAATATAGTCATGTTATTACATTCATCTCATTATATATTTCAAGTTTTTAAAAATTTAACGAGTATGAAAATAGTGATATATTCTCGATATACTCATTTTAAAATACATCTTGAAAACTGTAAAAAGTCAAATGGAGGAGAGAGAGAGACAAAAAAAAAAAAAAAAAAAAAAAAAAAAAAAAAAAAAAACTCAGTAGGATAGAGGGAGTACATTATAAGTGACCAATTGCCAAAAAGTTAAAAACAAAACAAAAATTAAAAAACTAACAATTACTATAATTTATGTGGTATTGTAGTCTTGTACTATACACTTGCGTTGACTCGCTGACTTCTCTAATCTATAATTATGCAATATTCCATCGGAATCAGATCCTTCATTAGCCAATAGCCAACTAATCTATCTCTCAAAAAAACAAACAAACAAAAGAAAAAGCTAAGGATAGAAATGAGAAACTCCTCCAACACCATCAGTAACAAATGGGAAGATCTCCCAAACGAAATCCTCGAAATCATAGCAAAACACCTTCAATCTCGCATCGATGTCTTCCGATTTCGTGCCATCTCCACCTCATGGCGCTCCGTCGTTCCACTCTCACACCGTCAAACTCAATCATCCCTCACTCTTCCGCCGCCGTTTACGGCCGCCGCCGTATTATCTCCCGTCACAATCTGCCGCCTCCAACACCACTCCGGCGGCGCTTCCGTCTTGATGAAGGTGGTTGAATCAATTTCCGGCGAATTACAGCTCCTCAACCCGCTCTCGACCAAAACATGTAAGGGTAATAGTAGTGTTCGCAGGACGATTAATTTAGTGGATCTTCGGTTGACTGAGTTGTATAGAGGTTTCCGTTTGATATTCGATTCAATTCCCACGAATTTTTATGTGAAGAAAGTGGTTTTGTTTTATGATTTTGGAATTTTGGCATTGTTTGAGTTGGGGGAATTGAGGTTTTGGGGATTTGGGGATAAAAATTGGACGAATTTGGGTAATGAAGGGGATTGTTATGATGATGTTATGAGGTACAAGAATCAATTTTATGTGATTAATAATTTGGGGATTGTGTATTGGATTGATAAATGTAGGAATCTTGTTCAATATTCACCTCCACTTTGTGGATTTGGGCACCTGAAAAATCTACTTGTATCCGAAGCGCAGTTTTATGTAGTTGATTTTTACATGGAGGAGGATGCAGCAAGAGTGCAAGCGGCTATGTTTGAGGAGCCGGGTGTTCGAGGCCGTCGTCGGACAGTGGATATGAAGGTGTATAAGCTGGATGAAGAATGGGGTACTTGGGTTGACGTGAAATCGTTAGAGGATCGAATTTTTGTGCTAGGAAAAGAAGTTTGTGTTTCGGTTAGTGTTCAGGATTTCCCGGGTTGCCGAGGGAATTGCATATATTTTGTTGATGCTTCGGATACTAAAACGGAATTTCAAACTTTAGGAGAGACTTTCAAACGATTTGTTGGTCGTGTATTTCGGTTTGACAATGGGAGTGTAAGGGCGGTTCAGTGTTTCCCTGCCTATAACAAGTTGTTCTCTCCTCATATGAATTGGCCGTTGGCTATTTCATCTTCTCGTGATGATGTTGCTGTGTAATTGTTGTTTCACAACATGACATGGGGCACTTTAGTTGGTTTAAGTTCCGAGTTATGAGATTCCTACCACTTTAGTATTGTTATTCAAGTATGCATTCCGTACTCATTTTTAAACTTGTCTCTTGTATTTTGATGTCATGTATCTAGTAAATTTTTATACTTTTTCCGTTTCTTTTTAGTTTACACGTTTCTTTAATCACGTTTGTCAATGCACAAATTTAACCATTAATATCTTTAATTACCGATAAGCAAACATAATAAAAAAAATTCATTATATACCGTGACGAATCTAACTCCTATATAATTACATTTTTCATTATGTACAAATCACAAAATATGGTCAAAGGAAAGTATGTGAATAGTGCTAAAGTCAAAAAGTATCAAAAAAAACAACGGAGGTAGTATATATTTGGGTGGAGCCAAGGGTGTAATAAACTCAATTGATTTTAAAATATTAAAGTGAGTAAAAAAAATAATTCAAATGAGTAAAAACCACTCTTGGTATATATAAAAGGTGTTAGACGAAAAAAGGGATGTTTTATCGTTAGTTTTAGGGTTTTTTGGATCACCAAAGGAATTGCATATCTCTTGTCAATCCTAAGTTTGAGGGAAAAGCAGAAGTGAGGCTTGATCGTCGAATTTTGTAGCTGGAAAATCCAAAAGAGTAATGCCACTCAAACTTTTTAAATTTAGAGAATAAATTTTTTGATAAAATTTTAATGAGTAGTTTTTGAGGAAATTCAAGTTACTGAAGCTGAGTAATAAGAATTGTTACTTAAGGGGCACCGTTGTAATTGCGCCTGCCTAAATAGGGGGTAAAATAGTCAGGCCACTAATTTCTTTCTTCTTCATCTTCCATCTCAAATTTCCTCCATTGTTTTCTCCTCCATAGTCTAGCTTCCTCCATCAATGCCTCCTCCATTTCCACCACCTAAGGTGGTTAAAATTGTTGTCGCAAACAAGATGTTTTCCCTAAAGGGTTGATATGGCCCTACTTGACACTCTTTATTACTAGGGTTTCGTTTTGTTCCGCCGCGAAGCGGCATTGTGGGCTTGAGAAAGGACGAAGAAGAGGAGGTCGATGGGGGAAGAAGAAGATCGGAGGTCGACGGGCTTGAGAAAGGACGAAGGTCGGCGGGCTTGAGGAAGTACGAAGAAGATCGGAGGTCAACAGCTTGAAAAAGAATGGAGGTCGACGCCCGGGCTTGAGAAAGATCGGAGAAGGGAAGATCGATGGTGGTTGTTGTGATGTGTTCGGCGGAGTGATGGTGGCTGTGGTGGTTTTGATGGTGGTGAACCGTGACGCCGACGAATAGAGATGAAGAAGAAAGCTGCAGCTATGGAGTAACATGGTGGAGAGAGATGAAGAAGAAAGGATTGCCAATATTTACAAAATTGTCATTTGAGTAACAATATTTGTTACTACTCAAATTGAGTAACCTGGGCTCACTCGTAGTTTTTGACAATATTTCTTTTATATTTTTTAAACCATTGCATAAAATCCAATTTTGATAATACCTCAATAAAATAGATATTTCTTTTGTTTCATAATAATTGCATCTTACGTCTGTTTTATAATAATTGTAACACTTTCGTATTTGGTAATAACTCACTATTATTTTATTATTACTCTCTCACAAAGCTCACTTACACTACTTATTACTTATTTGGTAATAACTCACTATTATTATTATTATTATTATTATTATTATTATTATTATTATTATTATTATTATTTATGTCCTACTAACAATTAAATATATCACCCCTTCGTAAAATTTTGTGTATCATCTAATGCTACAATTGCTACGAAACAAAGAGCTTATAAATTTTGAAATATTTGGATTTGAAATTCAAATTTTAAAATTTGAAACTTCTTGTATTATAAATTCTTTTCTAAAAATCCTAGGAGGCTAGAAGTGTTTGTCAATGGCTAGCTCACATAGACATATGTATAGGCAGTGTAGCCTTTGCTCCCAAAACCGCTAGCTATCTCCTACCTTTGCACATTTCTTTACCACTATTACCAATTTACCATTGCTGTAATTCTTTACCACTATTACCACTGCTGTAATAGTTACTCCGTATAATTTATGGCATCGATAATTTCCAAATTGATCTCACTCTAAATTCTAAAACCATAATATCTTCAAAATGAACAACTCCTTCAACACAATCAGTAACACATGGGAAGATCTCCCAAATGAAATCCTCGAAATCATAGCAAAATACCTGCAATCTCGCATTGACGTTTTCCGATTCCGAGCCGTCTCAACCTCATGGCGCTCAGCCATTCCTCTCCCCAACTATCGAAAATCTCTTATAACTCTTCCGCAGCCACGTCCGGCCACTGTTCCTGTTCCCGTCACAATCTACCGCCTCCAACACCACACCGGTGGAGCCGCCGTCTTGGTGAAGGTGGTTGAATATATTCGTGGCACATTAAAGCTCGTCAGTCCACTCTCTGATTTCCCAAGACAATTTCAGGGTAACTATAATTATTCTCGCAAGACAATTAACTTACTTGATATTCGGTTGATTGAAATTGATAGAGGTTATCACTTTATGGAAATGGACAGTTCAAAAATTTAGTTGTATCTGAAGGGCAGTTTTATATTGTTGATCATTACATGGAGGAGGAGGAGGAGGTGGTAGCAGGAGGGCAACCGACATTGTTTCAGGAGTCGGGAGTCAATAATCGTCATCGTATCGTGGATATGAAGGTGTATAAGCTGGATGAAGATTGGGTTACTTGGGTTGCTGTGAAATCGTTAGATGATCGAGTTTTCGTGCTAGGAAAAGAGGTTTGTGACTTTGTGTTTCCGTTAGTGTTAAGGATTTGTTGTTAATAATGAAGTAGTCTAGTACAAGTAGCATAGAAGAATTAAGCAAGATCGAAAAGGTGATCTTACAAACAAGGAAGAGAACGGTGTGTCGTCAAGCAAATTCACTGACTTGGGAACGAAATTCTGACGCAATCGGGGTGTTCAATTGTATTCGTCGGCACGTTCCCTAAAATTAACATACCACTTCCACTCAAAGGCACTTTTAGGTGAAAGGTTGGAGCCAAGTAACTTATGTCCAAAATAGAATATGTGTTTAACTTGTGTTTGATGTATATTTTCCAAGGTGTATGAAATCAGAAATTTATCCTCCAATTTATAATGATGAAAAGAAGAAGATGGAAGATCATAGAGGAATCTTTTTCATCAATAAGAAATAAAATCAGAATAATCATGGAGTTTAAGACACCATAATCAACCTCTTAAATGGGAGGTTACAAGAAATCAAACAAGAAGAGGAATCCAAGGGAGCCGTTGGAGTCCAACGGACGAGTTCGGCTCGCCCGGTCGGGTGAGCACCCAGACAAAATATGGGTTGCTTTCGCGCCCGATCGGGCGGACACTCCCCTTTTTTCAGACGTTCTCTCGTGCCCGCTCGGGTGGTGCTCGCCCGGTCGGGCGCCCATATCTGACTTCTTTGAATTTCCTTTCTCTATTCCAACAATCCCCCACTAAAGGAAGGGAAGAAAAGTCAACAAAAGATGAGGATAAGCAACATATTGGGCATAAGAGAAGATCAATACATAACACTTAGATACTACATAAGTAATTTGAAATCTAGTGTTTAGTGAAGTGAGACAATGAATTACAAGTATAAGGTTGGACAAACCTTGAAACCCTTAGACCCTTGATCAAAGAGTGGACGAACCTTGAAACTCTAAGATTTAATCCAAGTCCCCCACATCACATACATCACTCCAAAATATACTTGAACTCCGCGAAGAGATGTACCTATTTATAGCCAAACACATTCACCTTAGGTCTAGTGGAGGCTCTAGAAAACCGGCCAAAATTTTCATAGAAGATGGCTAATCTTCACAACCACATAGGTGAGTCCTTTAGTGTGCGTCTCAATAGCACAAGGACCCATTAAGAGTTAAACAACTCAACCTTACAAACAAAGTCAAACATTACAAACATTATCACCATAGGAATTAGGACAAATGTAATGTATTATATGGCTTAAGTCCTATTCCCCTCAATGATTCACCAACTTGTTTTCTTGCCAATCCTTTCTCCGCCAAGTTCTTTTCGGACCGTACATAGTCCAATGCAATCACTCCATTCTTGAGAAATTGCTTGAACACTTTATGTCTCATACGAATATGCCTCTTTGCCATTGTAGTTGCTATTATTGGCCACTCAATCGCCGCTTGAGAGTCACAATGTATAGACACCGGTGATAAACTCTTTCCCCACAATGGTATGTCGGCTAGGAGGTTCCTAAGCCATTCTGTTTCATGACCTGCCAACTCAAGAGCAATAAGTTCAGATTCCATGGTGGAGCGAGCTAAACATGGTTGTTTTGAGAACTTCCATGAAATAGCACCTCCACCCAAAATAAAAACATAGCCACTAGTTGAGGAAATTTCATCATTATCGGTTACCCAATTTGCATCACAATATCCTTCTAAAACATTAGGAAAGCGATAAAAATGCAAACAATCATTCATAGTACCTTTAAGGTACCTTAGTAACCGATGAAGTGCAACACAATAACTTTGACTTGGATTGTGAGTATATCCACTAAGTCTACTTACCGCACAGGCAATGTCGGGTCGTGTGCAATTCATTAGAAACATCACACTACCAATTACCTTTGCATAGAGCTCTTGAGATACACTAGGACCCTTATTTTTCTCAAGCTTCATATTGGGATCATATGGGGTATTGCAAGGCACTACATCAAAAAAATCAAATTTCTTGAGAATTTTTTCCACATAGTGAGATTGGCTCATGGCAAAACCATTTTCTGTTTTCCTTAGTTGAATTCCAAAGATTACATCGACTTCTCCCATGTCCTTCATTTCAAACTTGGTAGAAAGCATAGCCTTAACATTATTCACCACATCAATGTTAGTACCAACAATAAGCATATCATCAACATATAAATATATTATAACACAAAATGATTCAAACTCCTTAGAGTATAAACAAGAATCCGAAGAATTAGCCACACAGCCACAACTCCTAAGAGTGCTATCAAACTTTTCAAACCATTTCTTAGGAGCTTGCTTAAGACCATAGAGGGACTTTCTAAGCCTACACACTTTATGTTCTTGGCCTTTCACCACAAACCCTTCCGGTTGAGTCATATAGAT